GTGGCTTGTTTTCTTTTGCTTATCAGATTCAGGATACCCACAAAACAAAATTTTGGAGTAAAGAAACAAATCTTGGAGAAGATTTGGCTATGATTCATATGCACTGAACCTGCAAAATACTGAAAACAGTTAAACAGTTCTCAACTAGGTTTATTCACTTCCAGTCTTTGAGGTTCTCCTGTAAATGGAATGGGAATTGTTCATCAGAAAGAATTCTTAATGACCTCTTGAGAAATATGCCCCCAGTTATTATTTTATTTTGCATGACTAGAGTAATGCATGAAACCAATAGCTCTATTGCTGGCAATGACTTTTTAATTAAATTTTGCATGGGCACCTGGTTTTCTTAGTCAGATGAAAAGTAAAATTATCAGGATAGGAAGAAAACAGATATAGGAGTGAAATCCAACGTAATGGGTAAATCAACCAAAGAGTTTTAATAAGTCTAAAGTGTATGTAATAGATCAGAAAGTTCAATGACTATAAAACTCATTCATTTTATAATATAAGGGAACAGGCACCAAATAGATTAATTTTGGAGTATCTAGGAAGCATATAATCTTTTTACTTATAATTTGTAAAGTACAAATGGATCAGTCTAAGGGGTATTATTTACAGCATGGGATATAATTTATATCAAAATCATAATAGTGTTTGCATAGTGTGTTATAGTTTACAGGGTCCTTTTCATTTGTGTTGTCTTAATTAGTCTATAAACTCACAAGAGCCCATTGAAAAGTTACAAAATGTTATACTTTTGTTAAAAAAAAGCTATCTCTGTTCTTGAACAAGAGGTTCTTTGCTAATGTTTTTTGTTGACATTAAAATGATTCTTTATAACTTATACAAATGGCTTATAAAATTTAGGTTTTTATCTAGATCACATTCTTCAGAGATTTTTTTAAAATAGGCTTGAAGAATGTGCCATTAAGAAGAAAGGGTCAAAGAGTAAATAACAAAAAGAGGAAGAGGAGGACTTCAAAGGTAAGACTCAAACCTTGTCACATGTTGATTTATGAGCACCTTGTCATTTGCATGTAGACAAATAAGAGATTTAAAGAGAATATAGGTTCTTTTCATTTTGGTTTTAGACTTTATATAGTTTTCTTAAAAATACATCTTGAAAAGGTAAAATAATAAGATAATTGCATATCATCACCCCTCCTTTAAAAATTAGATGGTGGATGCATAGCCATTGATTTCGAGGATATAAAAAGCTCTAAGATAGAGCCACAATCTCTACCACTATTACAGGAGAATGAAATACCTTTGAAATGATCTAGAAACACATTTTCAAGTTTCAAGGTCATGCTTATATAATTCTAGAATGCCTGCTTAAAAAGTGAAAAAGCTGTGAACAGGCTTTCATGTCTTCCTGCATCTACTGTGAGTCTGAGTCTTTTAAGTGAATTGACCTTTTGGTTTGGTGCTGGGTAAACGGTCTAAATCAGCCATGTGCCTATACCTTGCAGAACCGGCCCTGTGGAAAAGTGGCTCTAATGGGAACCTCACTCTCATTATCTCCGAATGATTTTATGGGAGAGAAAAGCAGTATGAAAATGGAATGATATTTCAAGTAGAATAAATAGAACAGGGCCTGTGCCTGGACTCAACAACTGACTCACACACAGAGCCATGGGAAAACACTCATCCTTTCTATGCCTCAATTTTCTGTCAGTTTTCTCTCAAGGAGACCATGAAGACAAGTAGTATAAAGTCTGTGAGATTCTTAGAGTTTCATGAGGCATAAATATTTATTTCTGTTTTCATGGCTATGAACATTTTTTAAATAAAATAAAAAGTAACTGCATATATTAGACAAATTCAAATTTCCAACAAATCGATACTGTAGTATATTGGCACACATAGAGATCAAAATAACACATGTATGGGTTTGTTTGCCAAATAGAGGAATTGTTCAAGGGATTCTCAGTATTTGTACTTCTGCTGCAAATATCTCATTTTGGTGCTTGTTTTGTTGCAATTATTGCCTTATGAGTACTTCTCCTTCTAATCAGGAGTCTATTGAGAACAGACCGTGCCCTGCTCATCTTTGTAACATTATCTCACATAATCTAGCACATAATTAGGGCTTTAAAAACACTGAAGGAACAGAGGAATGAAAAATGAAGGACCACTCAGGCCATCACCCACGACAACCCAGGCAGAACTCGGTGCCAAGAAGTTTCAAAGTGCTTGAGATCAAAGTGGTAAACAGGACAGAAGAAGTCCCTGCCCTTGCAAAGCTCGCAGTCTATCATGTCCCTGGTTTTTCATACCATACATACTGGAGTATCAGGTAGTAACAAGTACTATGAAGACAAACAAATTTGGACAAGGAGATAGAGAGTGATAGAGGGCTGATGTTTAATATGCTGATTGCAGAAAACCTCTCAAAAGAGTTTGGAAGGGAAGTTAAGGTATAATTTTCTCCTTCTAGGGTTTCTGGGATATGATAGGTATGCCGTGTTGCTAAGAATTGCATATCCATTTAATGTATAATTGTACATGCAATTGAGATAGACAGACTACAAAAATAACAATAAAAATAAAATAAAAAATGTGGATGGATCTTCACATATCAGCACCTAGATTTTCCTTCAGGGAGAATGAAAACAACTGCCTCTTCATAGAAGACAAAGAAACCAGAGTTGCCTGTGCTCCATCAAGATGGTCATGTTGGTCCAGCAGGCATGACTCAGCGGTTGAGCACTGACCTATGAACTGGGAGGTCACAGTTCGATTCCCTAGCAGGGCACATGCCTGGGTTGTGGGCTTGATCCCAGTGAGGGTGTGCAGGAGGCAGATGTTCAATGATTCTCTCTCATCATTGATGTCTCTCTCTCTCTCTCTCTCTCTCTCTCCCCCTTCCTCTCTGAAATCAATAAAAATATATTTAAAAAATAAAAAAAGATGGCTATGCTGGCAATGAGGATGCAACAGGCTCCACAAGCAGTGTTTATAAAATGAATGGTCACAGAATTCATTTAAATACAATACTGGAAATATTTTCACTCACCTCTTTCCCGCCCCCGCCCCCCCCCGCATTCATGCATTTCTTGGGGTACTAAGGATTTCTCAAAAAAGGGGAGCCCTCTAGGATCTGTCACTTAACAACAGTCATAGATTTAACGTTACTGTTTTTGCTGTTGATACTGCTAATAGCTATTGAAATACAAATATCAGAATTCTCATGGAATTTGCTCATTAAGTAAATGATGAGCCAAGCTAAAAAGCCTTTTATATATCTTCCATTTCTTCTCTAATTACTCAGCTCTTAAAGTGGCTTTATAATGTGGCCCTGTGTATCCTATTTATGATACTGGAGGTGTTAATTAACCAGATAGATTCCAAATTACTGTAACATTTGCTATATTGGGACAAAAAGTTGTTGGCTTACCTATGAGGAATGTAACTCTTTGTTGAGATTTTGTAGGTGCCACATTCTCATTCCATTTTGTTATATTTTAACATTCATGTTCTTCCAAGTGATCATTCTCTTGGAGTTAATCCCAAGTTATATGTATGGGAAGATGTGTGAACCTCTAAGGCCTCAGGAACTACTATTGTAGGCCACATACATGATACTGAAGTGAACTTATTAAACAAACCATACACAACCACTCATTCTACTAAATACCAAGTAACTATCCCAATTAGTAGCTTATATGCTCTTTTGAACTGAAGTTTCCTACATACAATAGTAAAGCAGAATTTGGGACAATGACAATCAATGAGGGTTTAGAAGGAGGTGGGAAATTAGTAAACCCAGTTCTGTATCCAACAGAAATAACTGACCCAGTCTGTAGACTCATGGCCAAAGACTCTTGGACAATATATCTAGAAGGAAAGAGAGTGCAGCCATCTTATTTTAAGGTTTAAAACCAGAGCCCAGAAAGGTTAATAAGTTTGCCTGAGATGGCATGACCAGTAAATTGCAGATCAAGAACTAGCATTAAAGTCAATTCTCTGCTCTGAGCGGTTAGCACAGTGCAGGCCATGTTGTTGTGCTTGGAGAGAGGCTTATTAGGATTCCTTTTCTGGAATGCATCTAACATCACTAAAACCATTTCTGACTTAGAGGATAGCCTTCCATCACTCAGCCTCAAAAACATTTGTTTTATCACACTTCCTGTCTCTCTTATGATTTTACCCATGTTGTGCTTAACAAAGTTGGATTGCTGAGGCTCATCCTATAAAACAGAAACAGTTAACCTGGTGTGCTGGAGACAAGCTGTGCAGGGAATGACTAAAATATATCACCCAGTGCTGCTCTGCATGAAAGCTCAATCCTGAGAAACAATGACTTCAGCATCTCAGAAAAATAAGTCATATTGTTGCTATGAGGGATTCTTTTTATCCCATAACATCTATTTTTGTCCTTTTTTTATGTTAAAGTCCCTGATACTTTATAGAAAATCTGAAAATATATATTTGAATGAGTTGGTTCTAATAATCTAAGTATGTGACTCAGTGCATGTACTGTCATGTTTCATCTGCTCCCTGACTCATGGTATAACCTTTAGCAGATGATTCTTCTATGCCTCAGTTTCTTCAGTGGCAAAGCAGAATTGGTAATAATAATCCTATCTCCTCTTGACTGAGATTTTGTTAGAATGTCTGAAAAGAAAGTGCCTTTAAAAGTGTTCTACTTGTAGATCACTAGTCATAGCCCTTATTAATCATCTTCATTGTACAAGCATTAAGTAAATAGTACTGAAGAAGTCATCCTGGCATTTAAAATATGAAAACTAGGTTAACAAAAGAAGACGTTGGCCATGAATCCACAGACTGAGTCAATGATTTTTGTTGGATAAACAACCAGATTTACAAAATCTGATCCATCAGACTTTGCTGTTCTAATCAGGCAAAGTACATTCTAAACTCTTGATTTGAAATGTTTAAAAGCTAAAAAAGAAAAAAAATGCCTCCTTTTATCTCACCTCCTTGATGAGTTCTTTAAATGGTAGCTACACCTGAAGCAGGAAGAAGGCACAGGCACAGGGAGTTAGGCACTAAATGCAATATTAACCAACACTTACAAGGATGAGGTTATTGGTTACTATCTTTAGCACCTGATTGCATCATTTTTTAAAGATGAGGGCCATATTTTCCTGAATTTGACTAAATTTTCTAACTAAACCCACTTATGGCCAACGGCAAATATTTACAAGATATTCTCATGGGTTCACTTTGTGGCCATAGGACAGGAAAATGTTAAATATCCCTGGCTTCAGCTTTGCTGTTAGCCCATGAGTCTATCCAACCAAACTAAGTGGCCACACAGGGGCACTGGCCACAAATTTAGATTATTTTTTCCTTGTAGATATGCATGACTACTTGGCTTCTTGATAAGTAATTGGAAACATTTAATATGTCTTCTGTTAGCTTGAATTATAGCACAAGCCCTGGTTCAATTGGGAAAATGCCCTTCTATATTGTTCCTTGCTTTGTCATTTTGAGACTATGTCCATGCAAGGAAAACAATCTAGAGGATAATTGAAAAATCTAAACAATATTTCACACCTCCAGCTACACAATACTCTGTTTATATGAAGATCAGAAAACCAAAGAACAGAGAATAACTGCAAATTCTCTTGCTCACTAAAATTGCTATCCCTCAGTAATTCCCCCCCCCCCCATGGATTAATAATCAAATGCTTCTCTCTATGGGTAATGATTAGGTCAACGAAGAAGAAGGCAGAGTCCCAAACAACCTATCTGGAATATAGTTTCATTTAACAATTATCTGAATTCTTATTCATACTAGACACTTCATGGAAAATAATGAAAGCTGGGTCTACTCTCTACATTATGCTTTAGCATCTCACATGGACAGATGTAACCACAAATAATTACTGAACTACCTGATGTTATAGTTAGTGAGGTGTAAATTATTGCCCAAGTCATTTGTGATTAATAAAGCAGGAAGCACAAGTTGCCCAGAAGCTTTTTATTAAAGCTTCTGTACAACTTGACAATTAGTTAAAATGCTAGCGCAAGATACACTAGATCCAAAGGCAGAGTTTCAAACTACTAAGAGTAACACCGTGTAGTTTCCACAAGGGAACGCCATTAAGCATCTGAGAGGACAGCCCAAGACAAATTCTGTCTGTAGAAAGTGAGTGCCTACCTATTTCTTTACAAGTAAATATAAAGACTATGGGATTCCAAGAGATTAAAGATTACTTGTCAAGACCATGAAAACTCATTGTTCAAATAAGCTGACACTATTCAGCCTGGTTCTCATCTTTAATATGCCTTTTGATCCTGAGGCCAGAGCCCATGAGGCTGATGCACATGGATATTGTCATTCCAGCTGGGAAGGATGAGTTCTTGCAGCAATGTCTGTGGGTCCAAGCAGGCACCAGCTGCTGCTGAGGGCGGGTACCAGCGCTACGGAGTCCGGTCTTATCTGCACCAGTTTTATGAGGACTGTACCACCTCAATCTGGGAGTATGAGGATGATTTCCAGATCCAGAGATCACCTAACAAGTGGAGCTCAGTATTCTGGAAGGTAAGTCAGAAGCATGTGTTTAACTTAGGAAATGCAACAGCTATTGGTATGGTAAGTACTGTAGAGCTGTAGGAATGGAACTTTGTGTGTGCATCCCTCCTGGTGAGAGTAAATACAGTTTTCTCCCCTTAGGAAAGTAGAGTATAAACCTTGGGCTGAAGGAAGACTCTAGACAGCATTATTGTTGATTTTCAGATTAAACATTAATAAGTACAATTGCCCTCACTAATTATTATTTTTGCTACTGTTATTAATGTGCTACTAAATTCACCAATTGTGAAGCCATCCATGGGCAAAATACTATATGCGTCCAGCATCCCTTACAGTCTTGGTGAGTGTCATTTGACAAATTATAATAATTATTAAAAAAATAATAATTGGGTATGTAGAGAGGGTTAATGCTGGGACATAATAAAGTGGTCTGTATTCCAGCTCAAGCTCTACCAGATAGATGATCATCAACTTCCTCTCATGAAGGAGCCTCCCTAGACAGTGTATTCAGTTATTCAACATATAATTAGTGAGCACCTATTCTGTGCCCCAAAATTGCAAAATGCTGGAGACTAAAGTGGTAAGCAGGAGGCGTAAAAGCCCTTGCCCTCGTGGAACTTACCATCTATCATGGTAAACAGACCATAAAGAAACAAACCACATAATAGAATGTCAGGTAGTGACAAGTACAATGAAGAGCAATAAACCCGGAGAAGAGTACAGGGAGTGGTGGAGGACAGGTATGTGGATATGCTGATCATAGAAAGGTTTCCACAGGAGATATCTGAGCAAATATGAGGATGAGTTGAGGGAGCAGACCATAAAATTATCTAGCTGAAAGTCATTCCAGGTTAGGAAAACAGCAAATCTAAAGCTCTGAAAAGGGAATAAGTTTGATGTGTTTGAAAAAATAGCAAGAGGTACAGTCTTTTTGGAGTGGAATGAAATGGGGAAAAGGAAAGGTGATGGATTCAGGAAGACAATAGGGCTCAGATGATGGATGTTGAACCTTATAGATGATAGCGAGGACTTTGACTCTTACCTGGAGGGCCATGAGAAGCCATGTGAACATTTTATGCAGAAGAATTATGTGATCAAATGAATGTTTCAACAGGATAATTCTGGCTCGTGTACAGAAAAGAGATTATAGAAGGAAAAGTATAGAAGCAGCTAGGCTATTAAACTACCCCAATAAGACATAATGGTGACTTAAGTTAAGGTGATGTTAGTGGAGATGGTGATAAGTAGTCAAATTTAGCATAAAGTTTGAAGGCCAAGCTGTCAGGACATGCTGATGAACTAGATAAAAGGCAAAGTGGAGTCAAGCATGACTCCAAGGCTTGCAGCCTGAACTATTTAGTGAATGGTGTTATCATTTACTGGGATGGTGAACACAGGGAGAGCAGTGGGATGAGTGGGGAACTAAGAGTTTGATTCCAGCTATGCTATATTGATGATGCCTGTTAGACATGCAAATGGAAATCCCTAGTGGCAACTTAAATATACTGATCTGCAACTCATGGATTGGGAGTCAGTGGTATAAAGAATGTATATAAAGCACCAGACTAGATGAGATCACCTGGGAAGACAGTAGGGACATAGAAGAGAAGGTCATTGGGACATGCCAACGTTTAGAAATAAAGAAAAGGTTGAGGATTTGGGAAGATACAGCCTTGGATGATGTTTCTGTTATACCCCTCCAGGTATAACATTCTGCACCTCAGGGGTTTCCAGTCATTCTGACTTTCTCCCAAAGTATCTCACAATTGTAGACATTGATATTGACATAAACTTGCAATTTATTGGCAATAGTGTAACAAGAGACAATGTAAATGATTATGAACATGGACTCTGTCTTCAGACTGCATGGTTCAAATCTCGGCTCTTCCATTTAATAGCTCTGCAACTTTGGACAGTAATTGACCTTAATGGGACTCTTATGGTGATACTTATAGTACCAACTAGATAAAGTTATGAGAATTAAATAAGATAATTTTTACCTAGTGCTTAGAACAATGTCTTATACACACTCAATAAGCATTCAATGTAGTAGTTACTATTACCAGATGCCACATGAAACATTAAATCCTGAAGTGGAAATAAAACTGGAAATCTAGTTAATAAACAAAATATTGGATAACAGTTGTTAACATAGATTACCCAAGACCTGTATTAATTAAAAATCTCACAAGGGTCACGTGCTCTGTGTTAGAATTGGTCAAGCTATCATCCTTGCACTGTCACCTCTGATGAATCTTTGCTGGCCTGGACCGATGAAACAAATAGCCAAGCTTGGCACATATTGTATTTACCCACATAAGTGGGTGGTTGCTTCAGTATGTGTCAAAAAACAAATATTTGCCTCACAGATCTGTTGTGCCAAGAGCCTAAAATGCCAATGCCATACAGAATATTGTCAGCATTTATGTGGGTCCAAAGCACTGGTGGTTATGTGATTTGTGCTGCTGTGAGTTCATCAAATAATATAAAAGTTTGTATTTAAAATAAAGAACTCATAGTAAATTACCAACCCCAGATTTCAGATTTCAATATTCAATATTTTCTCCATTTTATTTTATATACAAACAAGATCCAAAAGTATTCTTGCAAAGAAGAAAAACAGGCAAAATCCATAGCCTCATAGAAATTATATTACAGCAAAATCCAAATCTTAGACTCATATTCTAATCATTAACACTGGACTGGGCATTCAGAACCCTTCAATCAACCTGAATAACCTAGGAATCACTGTCTTAAAGACCTCACCCCTATAAATGGAATAAACCAACTACTCTTGCCTTTCCTCCTTGGAAATATAAGTAAATTCATTGCAGTAGGTTTTTGAAGTGCTCTCTACCATTACAGAGACAGGAACTGGCTATGCACATGTTTCTATTATGATTCTTTTTTATTTTATTTTTTTCCTATCAAATTGCATTTGTAGGTGGTTTAAGCTCCGAGCTTCCCCTTCCCCTCTTCCACTATAATGTTGCCACGGTCATGTTGATATCTCCCTGAGGACTCTGCTCATAGTGTCTCAACGGGACTCTGCCCTCAAACCAGCTCCCTGGCAGTGGGCAGCATGGAGGGATTAATGAGAATGGAGATTGGAATCAAATGGGGCTAAAATAGATTATTTGCTCTGTCATATGGATCTACATAGCATCCATCTCACAGTGCTATTTTTTCTACAGATGTTTATATGTCCAAAATATGTGCTAGACTTTGGGGTTCAGTTGTGAATAAAATGCTATTCTTTACTTGTGAATAAGGTATAGTTCTAACTATAGCAAATGGAAAAGATAGACACATACACAGATTGTTACAATCCTACATTCTAAACACTCCCTTAAAAGTAGTCAAAGTAGTTACTAGAAGCACAAGATGGGGAGAACCTGATGCAGCCTGCTCCCCCTCTTTTCTCTCAAGACCTTCCTCCTACCTGTCCCAATCTCTCCAGTTTCCCCCCTAAGCTGTCAGAATCTAAACTTATTTTTTATTTCTCTTCAAAGTATCACTAGATATTAAGGAGATGGTTTCCACACTAGAAATGAGAGGAGCTATGGAAGCCTCTTAAGATAGAATTCATGTGATATTCATTGTATTTTTAAATGTTTTTCTTAGATAGGACTTGAAGAATGTATAAAGAAGGATAAGACTACCAATGGAAACCATCAGAATGCTATTGGGATTATCAGGGCAAGATATAGTAATGGTCTGCGCCATTAGAATAGCCGTGGTGATGGCGAGGAGATTCAAGGTTCAAGAGAACTTTATGAGATAGAATCCATACGATTCAACTCACTATTAACTATTAATGTGAGGAAAGAGTCAGTGAATGGGTGGCTGGCAGGAACACAGATAGGAAAAATGTAAAGGAAGGAAGGAGTACCATTTTGAATATTTGGGTTTGATGAGCCTTTGGGACGTCCTATTGTCCTCCCCACTGAGTGATCCCAGGAACTACTATGACTACTTTTAGGGGAGTGTTTATCATATTGGACTGTAACAATCCTCCTATTGACTGTTATAAATATGAGGCTAGAGTCCAGGGTAATTATTTAGGCTTAAGTTGGAGATTTGGAAGTCATTGGTATATAGGTGGTATTTGAAATGTCAGCGGCAGATTAAACCTTAGAGAGAACATATTGAACAAAGGATATGAGTCAAGGTGGAACCCTTGAAAACGCCAATAATTAAGAACAATATCTGGCAAAGCAGGTTGAGAGTGGGTTGTTAAAGGGGAAGATGTAAAAAGAGAAGAGAGTTGTATCAAGGATAACAATAGGTGAGGGTTTTAAGAAAGCATGGGTGTTTAACACCATGGCTGCAAAACATTCAAATGAGATAAGAAAAATCACATGGGGTTTGAAAACTAGGAGGTCATTAGTGACTTCGGAGAGAGCAATTTCAGTGGAATTATGGAGGACTAAACTTGGCTGTCAAAAGTAGGAATGACTTCAAGCAGTAGCTAGTGAGGAACGCAGGATTTTAGAACAGATATTGAAGATTGAAGCAGCTGAATGTGTTCATGTGTGAGGAAAGGAGAGAGCCTCTATAAAGTAGAAGAACTAATGCAAGATAATGGGTACCACCACCCAGGGGAAGGGAGCTTGAACACTTTAGGAGGCAAGGCATGTGAAAGGACCTAGATCATAGTCTGGCATAGGTTTTCGACTTTGTAAAGCTCAATGTCCTTACAGGCAGGCCAGGCAAGAAGGTCAGGACATAAGCTAGAATTTGTTATCTCTGCTGGCAAGCTGACACTACTCATAGCTCAGATCCTGCTAAGGGGAGGTCAGCAGCAGCCCTCGGGGCTAATGAAGAAGAAAAGCCAATCTTCACTCTTTATGTGCTTCCCCTGGATTACCTCTAACCCAGATGGCTCCTTTCACATTTAGCTCCATCCAGCACTTCCCCCCACATGCTGCTCTTCCCTGCCATACTAGTTCTTGCTTCCAACAGTCATTACTGCCTCCTTGCTGCCAGAACAGCTGCGTGGCTACTGCTGCCAAATCTGCTCATTGGAGTAAACTGCATTTTCAGAACTCATCAGCTCACGGAGATACAACGAAGGGGATGTTGGTCAAAATAACAGCATTCTCTGGCTTGTTGCCCCCAGCAGCAGAATTTCTGGAATCCAAGTTCTCCTCCCTATCCAGTCCTCTCTTCCAACAGCAAGGACTGGGTTTTCACACATGCTCCCAATAGCAGGGGAATCATCGGAAACTACAGCTCAAGAGCTGTCCTTGCTGCTGTCTTTAAGCTTTGGCACAGCCTGGGGAGGTCTTTTTCTCTCCCTATTGGTATTGATCTAAGCACCCCACAGCCCTGAGCTGCTCTGGTATGCCTGAGGGAGGCCCTCTGCCGGAAAGCATTTCAACTCTTCTGCGTGGCCCTAAACAGGGCTGCTTTACTCTCTTCAACCCTTAAAAGATCTCATTTTTAAAAACTCTGTTTAATAGAGCCCTTATCTTCTTAGATCTAGGACCACTGCAACTTAGAGACAATTGTGATACTGTAGAGCATCACTCTCAAGATTTTTTATTCTCTCCAGTATTCCAACATGGTACCAGAATTAAGCTGATGTATGCCAGCATCCCTCCTCACCTCCATTATATACTGAGGGAAGTTAAGATGCAGGGAAGTTTGATCCCATCATTGCTCCTTCATGCCGACCATCCCAAGTTCTCCCTGATATGTTTTAACAGATTTAGAGTGCCCCTCTGGGAACATCTCTTGAAGATTTCCATTAGACTTACATTTATGGTACCTTCAGACTCTTTGGAGTTAGCTTTTCATTACATTGTGTCGTCCCCCCCCACACACACACACACACAGACAGTAGGTATCTACTATCTCTCTGATACATGGATATCACAAGGAAAAGGGAGAAGGCTCAGGGAGGCCAGCCACTTTCCAGTTCTTGAAGTGAGCAGAAATTCTGCCATCTGCAAGTCATGGTTTGCCTTTTAGCTTTTGACTGCTATTCCAAGCATGAATTTTGAACTATAGAGCACTGCTCAGTTGAAGAGCAGACTGCTCTGAGAATCAATCACCTGGCTCCATATTCAGCAGCCTGGTGGTTCAGGTTGGCCAGTCAGGAATATTTATTGAGCACAGGCTGGAATCAGAGCTGTGGAGAGACAAGACAGAAATAGAAGATGGAGAGCATTGGCCTCAGTTACTCTTAAGAACTTTAGAAGCTAAGATGGATACATTTTTGCTGCCCTCAATTTTTGAGAATTATTGCCAGTTCTTAGGGAGGAAGGTAATTTAGTGACATATGAAGCAAGTCACCATGGATATTTAAGTTAATTTAGTTTGTACATTCAAAATTTTCCAATGTGAGTCATTTTTTAAGTTATGTTTAAATAATGGTTAGTCTTTGATGGTGAATTTATTCACCACCATTTTTAGAAAAATGTAGAAAGCTATTTGAAATGTTATATTTTACAACCCAATTTCTTCTGTACTACTTATGTCTTATGTTTTTTTTTTTTTCCAGAAGAAATTATATTGACTTTTTTTGTTTTTCAGTTTCCTCACACTATTACATAATGGAATTTTGTCCATCTATGGTAACAAAAACTTTGTTGCAATAAAAGAAAATAATATCAGGCAATATACAAAATCATAATTGGTGAAGTATCATGGGAGAATAAAAGGAGTGAAGGGCTTAGAAGACCTGGGATAGAGTCCAATCAAAGCACTTGCTAATTATAGGACCTTGAACTATGCTTCCTCAACCCTATAAACCACAGTGTTTTATAGATGAAATAGGAATAAAAATATCTCCCTCTCATAAGGCTGGTGAGGATAATGTGAAAAACACATCTAGCACTAGGCCTAAGTTATAATAGACTAGAGGACCGGTGCACAAAATTCCTACACAGGAGGGGGCGGGGGGAAGGGTGTCCCTCAGCCCAGCCTGCACCCTCTCCAATCTGGGACCCCTTGAGGGATGTCCGACTACCCATTTAGGCCCGATCCCGGTGTCCTCGAGGGATGTCCGACTACCCGTTTAGGCCCGATCCTGGTGTGATCAGGCCTAAATGGGCAGTCGGATATCCCTCTCACAATCCAGGACTGCTGGCTCCCAACCATTCGCCTGCCTGCCTGCCTAATTGCCCCTAACTGCTGCTTCCTGCCAACCTCATCACCCCCTAACCACTCCCCTGCCAGCCTGATCAACACCTAACTGCTCCCCTGCCAGCCTGATTGCCCCTAACGCCTTACCCTGCTGGCCAGATCACCCCTAACTGTCCTCCCCTGCAGGCCTACCCCCTTCCAACTTCCCTCCCCTGCAGGTCTTGTCCCTCCCAACTGCCCTCCCCTGCTGGCCATCTTGTGTCCACATGGGGGCAGCCATCTTTGACCACATGGGGGCGGCCATCCTGTGTGTTGGAGTGATGATCAATTTGCATATTACCTCTTTATTAGATAGGATGCTCTCAGCAAAAGTCACTGCCACCAATCCAATGCCAACAAGAGTCCCCAATCTCAAGTGTGGTAAAAGTAGAAACTTTATTCAGTTAAAACAATTTGCAAACTGGAGAAACTCAGCCTCCAGGAGAAACTGAAAGTCAGCTCCCCAAAGACCAAGTCAGCTCCCCAAAGACCAAGTTTGCCTTATATAGGAAAAACTTCCACCTTAGTCCCAGATTGGTCTATTTTTATGTAAATCAGGAATCCAAATTTGCGCAGTTTGATTTGTCCAAATAACACTGTCTTGATTGGCTGGAATTGTCTATTCTGATTGGTTATTATGGAGATGCTCTGATTGGTCAGTAAACATGCAAATGAAGGTATAGCTGTGTAGTTCTGATTAGATGAGGCAGGTCTCAGCCTATTGGTTGAAATATGATGCCAGGAACTCCTTTATAAGAGTCAGCTCACTCTGAGCAGGAGTACAATTCAGGTGACTCACAGTTCAACCTGTGGCTATCTCTTGACTCTCAGCATGCATGTGAGACCTCTGCCAGCAACAGTTCTTAGACTCTGATTATGAATTTGAGTCCAATTAATCATCAGATCTTCTTTTTTGCAGATATATTTCTTCTTGAGGTTCACAGTGCTCAATAATACTAATTTTCCTTTTGCCCCTTTGCTAAGGTGATGGGTTTACAAATATGTTTTCCTTCTATTATATAAACCTTCTTTATTAGTGTATTACCATGGGGTTTAATTAATAAATGAGTTAAGTAAACATACTTTAAATGTTCACGATTAAATGGTGTTATGCATTTGGTTATTTTTCCAACCTTGTTATTCTAACTAAAAGCAATTAGAAACAGGAGGAAATGAGAAATGTGTTTAAAAAATAAATAACTATATTAGCTGTTCTTTATTCTAAGTACTGAGCAATTGTAATGCGGTTGCCAATGGAGCATAATTTTAAAAGAGGTACATTTCCAAATAATAACAACTACTTATTACAATGTATGACTTAGTCAGGCAAAGGACTAAGCCATTCATGAGTGTCTCTTAGTCCTCATAACAACTCTATGAGGTGGGTACTATTATCATTTATCATTTTATAGGTGAGGACATTAATAACAGTGTTTAAGTAACTTTCCTTTTATGATTCATTGCTAGTTGGCAGTGCTAGAATCCAAGTCTGTGTCTGTTAATTCCAAACCTCTGAGTTTAAACCACCAAATGGTATATTACTTTCCATCTTCAGCATGTTACATTTTATTAGAACTTGAGCTGATGCGGTGTAATTTCCATCTGCTATTCCTACCACGTCTCAGCATCTGCACAAGCCCAACCAAACAGCTCCCTGTTAGAGAAAGAGCACTGGCCTGGGGTCAGATGTGTGGCTTCCAGCCCTGCCTCTGCAACTTGCTAGCTGTTCATCCTGGGCTACTGACCTACCCTCTGCAAGGTTACATTTCCTCGGCTTTAAATGGTTATGGTTCCATCCCCGCTTACTTGGGGAAGGGGGAAGTAGTTAGTTATACAGACTGTCACTGTCTTCCAGCCAAAATCACCAGGACATACCTATATATTGAACGAATTAAGTTTATTACGCATCATAGTGAGAGAGATGACACAGTAAGGGCTCCTGGAGTATTTCAGTAAGGGAGTGTGAGGAAGGACATATAGGATGTGGGCTTTAGTTGAGTGATTTGGGGGAGGGCCTAAGGGAATAGGAATTCCCCCTAGATAGTCAGGGGCAATTCTACAATTGAATTTCTTAATGAGTCTTATCTCTAGGGAGAGACTAAAGCTGTAATTGGTCTAGAAGCAGCAGTCATTCATATTGGCGGAGAGGAGAGGAGGGGTTGGGTATTTGACCTTGTTTTGGTCTGTGCTTAGAGAAAACTGTGAAGTAGTCTTACTTCATCGCGGGGCAGAAAGCGCTTGTCTGTTGATGTTCTGTGAAACTGACTGTGCCAACAGGAGGACAGCGTGGCCTCGCTGTGAGCTCCAGGCAGCTGCTAACAACAGCAAGGCCGGGGTAGAGTCAGGCCAGCTCCTGGATATCAGGGCTGCTTTTCTCTTCCTCGAGACCAAGTGAGACAATGTCGGCAAAAGGGAGCTTTGCCAACAACAAAGCATTGTGCGCACCGAAAGCTCAAAGGAAAAATTAAGACAGTTCTGCAGTTTCTGATTGATACTAAAATCAGAAAGGTGCTCTTTCCCTGTCTTCTTTAACCAGAAAACTATATAGGCTTCTTATATGTATTTAGGACTGGCTGGGAAAATCCACTCCCCCCAAAAAAACAAAAGCAAAAACAAGGCCTGTCCTGGACGGCTCAGGGAGAGCTGAGGTTCTGTGCTTACCTGTCTCGCGTCATTGTGTCTTTCTCTAGGTCGGACTCATCTCCGGCACCATCTTTGTGGTTCTCGGACTGACTGTTCTGGCAGTGGGCTTTCTTGTGCCCCCCAAGATCGAAGCTTTTGGTGAAGCCGATTTCATGGTGGTCGACACACATGCTGTGCAGTTTAACGGAGCCCTTGACATGTGCAAGCTGGCGGGAGCCGTGCTCTTCTGCGTCGGGGGCACGTCCATGGCAGGGTGCCTGCTGATGTCAGTGTTGGCGAAAAGCTACTCCAAAGAAGAAAAATTCCTGCAGCAAAAGTTCAAAGAGCGAATCGCAGACATCAAGGCCCACACCCAACCCATTACAAAAGCTCCGGGCCCTGGGGAAACGAAGATACCAGTCACTTTGTCCAGGGTTCAAAGTGTCCAGCCTGTATTGGCAACCTGAACCCTTTCCCCCATCCTCTCCTCTCTAACTGACACACGTGGCTACAACGGAGCAGGCCAGCGTTTGAGAAGATGAGCATTTGGCCTTGCTTTGCCCCGTGGCTGTCCTAGGCTGTGGGCAGCATAGGGCAGGAGTTCACACTCACTCGCTCAGCGGCCCTGGTGAGGGTGGATGCCATGTGTGGACCTGAGCACAGGCACCAGCTGCTTAGAGGGGGCCTCCGTGTGCCCCCAGGAGCCCCCTGAAACTCCCGTCTCCTAGATTGTGGCTCAGTGTCATTTTCCGTGTTATTGGGAAGCCCTGAACAGTTTAGACCAGCCTACCAGTCACTACCGTGGCCCGCTTCATTTTCTAATATTAGTTTTTCTAATCTTTCCTGTGTGGTGCTGCCCTCTGTTCCCATCTCATTCCATGTAAGATATTGTCATATGTGTTCCTAGAAAAATCGAGTTTCCTGATTTTGACCCAAACATTATTAGTCTCTTAACTATATCTTAACGTGAGGTTCTTGAGATTGGATACATTTATCAGAGACCTTCACAAATCCTTTCTGTTCAGGTTTTTTGTTTGTTTGTTTTTCACTCAAGCTGAAATTGCCAACTCTACAATCTTCAGAGAGAAGTTTATGTTGGGAGAATCTATTTACACAATGTCCAAAAGCACATAATTAGAAACCAAGAAATTTGACTTCCTACTGCTAAATAGCTGAGAGGCCTTAGGGCGATAATTTAATTTCCCAGGCCTCAGTTTCCCCATCTGTATAATGGGGGCCCTGGGCTGTGATGTCTGAGGTTCCTTTTTTGCCATCTGTCATCAGGTCTCCTCCAAGTATGTTTACGATGTCCTGTGGTTCTCACCACAGTGAAGTAAGGTTCTTTGAAACATGGACTCCAAGAAAGCCGCCAAATCAGTGGCCTCCATCCATCAACCCTTCAATATCCAACCCCAGCAGTTTATAGGAGGCTGCCATATTTTTATAAAGACAATAGTAAGCCATCCTCAAATAAGAAACCACTGAGTAGATATTAACCTCGAAAGGGGTTTTCTTTCTCCAATAAGACATTTTATTCTCCAGCAAGATATTTGTCTCATCCCTTTGACTTTTATTTAATATGTGGATTTAAATGGACTGAGGAAAATGGACGATGTGACCTTGGTATTTATTCTCTCAGAATTTGTGCCCCTTCGTGTTCCCCCCCACTTCCCTTCCTTCACTGGATAAATAAAATATGTGAACCAGCAGAACCTGAATTGCATTGTCATTCCTTCAGTGTGGCTATTTTCTCTCCATCATGTAATTTTCCATCCTGAGACTGAATGAGCTCTGCTGTTCCCTGGCTAAATGGAGGAATAAATGAAACAATTAGTGCTCTTTTGTGCACACTGTTTATTTTGCCTAGTCTAGCGTAAAACACAGGGCAAATCGGCCCCTCTGCAAGGACCACTGGCCAGATTTGGGAGAAATCCTTCCAGTTCCTCACGTTCTCTATCTCCCTGTGGAAATATCATTTTAATTTTATTCTTTGAAGCCTTCTGCAAGCCCCCGAGCACCTGTTCAAGGCAATAGCATTTGAAGCCTCCCAGGCGTGCTTCTGTGTTGGGTACCAATGAGTCTCTGAGGATGAGACTTGACTTTTAAAAAAACATTGATTGATTTGAGAGAGAGAGAGAAATGGACTTATTGTTCCAGTTATTTATGCATCCATTGGTTGATTCTTGTATGTGCCCTGACCTGGGATCAAATCTGCAACCTTGGCATATCAGGATGATGCTCTAACCGACTGAGCTACCCAGCCAGGGCGAGATGACTTTTAAAAGCCTTCAAAATGAGAAATAATAGCTGTAGGGCATGAGAGCTTTTAGGTACAGGCATACTGGCAGCCACTAAAAAGAAGCTCTATTCCTCAAAGGCCTAAAAGAAATCGAGATGGATACAGTAGGAGCTGGGTCTGAAAGAGTAGCTCAGCCTAGCCTGTCTTTCCTGTCCTTCCCGAGCTTTGAGAGAGTGGGGACTTGTAAGGAAGAGGGATTGAGGGATCTTGTAGGAAAGCAGAAGAGGCTGGTCGGTATAGGAAATATAACTTGATCTTTGAAAAAAGTACAGGCCCTGGGTAATCTGAGGGCAGGGGGTAGCAGACCAAATGCTTTCTAAAGTGATTTTCAGGCCTGGTAGGGGAGACCTTAATGGTATGACGTACCAAATGCTCTTAGAGCATTGGCCTCACCCTGTTTGCTTGCACTGAGCCACGCCTTCTGTCTGTACTGAAACTTCTGGAGGAAAGTGAAGCTACATACCTATGGATGGGGACAGAGGTGGGAGAAAAGGCGCTGAAACTGAGAAAGGAGGTCTGGCCGGTAGATATGTAAGCAGAGGCACATGGAGTTGGTAGAAACCTTATGTGGGCCCACCCGAGGAAGAAGGCCCCACCCACCTCATGTCAGCACTGATCCAGCAACTTTGGGCACCTCAGTGGCTGGTCACCTCAGTGGCTGGACCCTACTGCCTCAGAGGGCAAGCACCACATCTTATGATGGTTCTATATGTCTAGAAAGATTACCCTCATGTCTTTCCAAAACCCACCTCTCTAACCCTTCTGCACATTAGACCAAGTTCTAGAATTCAAAGTTACCTACAAGTCTAACCCCTTTTACTAAGGACGACCAAGTTCTAGAATTCAAAGTTACCTACAAGTCTAAGGAACACCTAACCCACCACCCACCCCAGGCTATGAATTCTTTTCATTCAATTATTTTTAATCCTGACACTTCCTGACTGTCATCTTCAGGGAAATGGTCCTATATGTCCTCAACATTCCTAATTGTCCATGCTACCTATTGAATGGGGTCCCTAGAAGTTTTTTAATTTATATAGGTTATAGATTCCCTAACTTCATTAATTGCCTTACTTATGCAATGCATAAGCACATGGGACCACAAGCCAGAAAACTGTTGACAGATGTGTAAGCAGCTCCTCCATGCACTTCCTTGGCCTCCTGTGACCTGTCCCATCCCTTCCCAGTTTCATTCTGGCACATGTCCTGGAACCTGCATCCTAGTGATACTCAGCCACTCTCTCCCCTAAATGTGCCTGCATTTTCTTGCCACTGTGCCTGCACTCACAAAGCTTGCTTTCCCAATAATAACCATGGGCCCCTTCTCTGGCTACTGAACTTCTCATTCAAGGCCACATCAAGAAATATAGTAAGAGCAATGATAATGAGCTAATATGTATTGAATGGAAGGCACCACTGAAGCAGTTTATGTATAGTAATTCATTTAATCCTCACTAAAACCCTAGGAAGTTGGGGCTATTATCATTTGCCCGTTTGACACAGTCAGAAATAGGCAAAGAAAACATGTCTAAGGAGAAGCAGTAAGTGACAACGGAGTTGGGATTCAAATCTGAGCAGCCTGGTTCACAGGCTGCAGCTGCACTTTCGTTCATTATCAGTTCTGCCTCTGGAAATGTCACCTTCTCTGTGTATCTTTCTCTCTCACTCCCGTTCCATCTCCCAGTTCAGACTTAATGTCTCTTCCTCAAGTGCCAGCATTTTGTACAAACACATTCTGTCGCACTTATCTCCCTTTATTATAGTGATTTGTTTACACATCTGTTTCTTCCATTAGAAGCTAGACTATTAGTTGCTTGCGTACAGGGAGCATGACTTAATGAGTGGTGAACCCTCAAGAGCAAATACATAAAAGCTATGTGCTACTATTACAGGGTCATTTAAAACAATTATTGCATTTTTTTAACCTAGAGCTAGACATTGTGCTAGAACTACAGAAAACAAAAGAGATGCTTAATAGGGAGACTAAAAGATTTTTTATATTTAATGGATGTGTGTGTGTGTGTGTGTGTGTGCACGTGTGCGCACGCACATTTGGACTAAGACTGAGAATATGGCTATGAGTACCCCAGAGCAGACCTTCTCCTCAGTCTAACACTGGGGCTTGGGGGAGTCCAGTCTAATGGCTATCTTGCCATATTCCATCTAATCGCAAAACCCTCCAGCCAATGAGCCCTGCTCGTTGACAGAGCTACCAGTCTTACCTCTCATTCCTGGGGTAGTCGGATGGGAGAGCTGCACCTGCCTAGTGAGAGCAGAGTCCCTTGTCTCCAGCAGCCCTGAACAAGCACCTGGCCCTTCATTCTTAAATAGGAACGCACAACCGGAACCACGACATCTGAGGAAAACCAGCATCTTGAAAGAGGATATTCATAGAAAATAATAGACTCTGTGGGAAATATAAGTATTTCAGAAACCATAGGACAACTCTAAAATGTCTAATTAGTCTTCAGAAAAAAATTGCATAAGTTAGATAAAAATAGAATATTATGAAAAGGAATATCAAATAGTTTACACATTCATAAGAGAATAAGTTGAAGGTATTTTACCAAAAGTAAAATACCTCCCATAAAAATAAAATTATGAAGCAAAGAAAAGTAAAAGACAGAGCGTCAGTCAAAGAGAAAAAGATAACAGAAAAAAAGTGAAGAAGAAATTATTAATAAAATAATAGAAGAAAATTTCTCCAGGCTGTAGAATATAGAAATCTTAACATTGGAAGTGCCTGCTGAATATTCAGCAATGTGAATGGTTTAAAAAAGTCATTTTTGACAATATACAGATGATGTATTATAGAACTGTGCACTTGAAACGTATAGAATTTTATTAACCAATCTCACCCCAATAAATTTAATAACAAATTTTTTTAATCCAAATAAAAAAATGAAACATTCCTGTGAATTTTGAGAACACAAAAGATAAAAAGGATCTAACAAGGTTCCAGAAAGAACAACCAATATGAACAAAGCAATAAAACTTAGATTGGGAAAAGGGAAAAACTGTGATCCCATGCAACTGATGGTAAGGTAACTTTTAGTCACAGGAGATAGATATGCTCTATGAAAAAGAAAAGATAAAAACCATAGAAACTCCAAAAATAAAAATTTAAAATAAACTGCACAAGGAAATTATGGTCCAAATATGAAGCATGATTGTGGAGTCATGGGGAAGAGTTGATAGAGTATAAGAAGGAAGGAGCCTTTTGAACTTTGACCTTCCTATTGGGCACATTCATTTCTAGTAGAAGCGGAGCTGGAGCTGACACAGCAGAGGAAGAAGGGCACACTGTGCCCCAGGAGCTCTGCAGAGACAAACATTTTACAAAGTCCAACCAATTGTTTACTTCTTCCCAACTTTCAAAATCAAACTATGGACAAAAGAAAAATCTAAATAATGATTATAAAATAGACTGCATATGTGGTAAATCTGAAGATATTAAAATAAAGGTAGAAGTAGCAAAATTTGGAAAGCAGATGGGGAAAAGGATTAAGAGGAGATTATGGTAGAAATACTAATACCCTCATCTAATTTAGTGAGGAGTCAAGGGTAATTGTCTCACATTTACGAAGAGAAATAATGGCCTCCTTTACAGTGTGCAGTTATAAACATAACCCAATGAAAGAACGAAAAATGAGACATCGCAAACTTTGGAAAGAAGAGAGGGAGGATGAGATGTAGAGAAATTAAATTAAACCCTCATCTTTCATGGTAGGAAATCAGTCATTCCTGTCTCAGTTATAAATCAGAAAATAATAAATACGTTATTTACAGTTATGGAAGAAGCCACTGGAAGAGTTTCAAATAGGAAATATTAAAATGTTTCCTCTGAGAGAGGCTGGGGAGGCCGGGGAAGGCAGAACTGTTTATATTCACAAAGTGCAGACCAGGACAGACAGTGTCTGACCCCGTGACCTTTATATAGACTTGAAGCAAATCACTGTTGTATTAGAGGCTTAAAAAATAAAATAAAAAGCATCAAGGGATTTTGTTTACACGAAGGGATTTATTCTAGATAAGATTCCAGGCAGGCCTCCCTGAGGACACGGTATTTAAACTTCATCTTGAGATATGAGTAGAAATGAAGCAGAGTGATCCTGGCCTCAGGAGGAATGCGGTCCTTTGGGGATTGGGGGTGGGCAGTGGACTATGGGAAGAGAGAGAGAGGAGCTTTCAAGGCAGAGGCAACAGCACATACAAACTCCCAGAGCGAGGTGGGCGCATCACCTGAAAGAATTGTATTCAGTGCTTTGTCACTGAAGCAGCTGGGATCCCTGGGGAGAACTGGCATCTGTAGTGACTGACAAGGTCTCAAAGCTACTCAGCTCCAATGTGAACAACTCCCTCTAGGGCTGTGCAACGGGCCAGACAGGAGGATGAGGCTGAGTCATGG